GTGGATCCAAGTGCAATGAGATCCTTGACCGCTTCAATATTTCCTCCATTGACTGTCATGCTGCTTATTGGACCAGTTGTGAGGACTTCTGTTTTCTTTATGTTGAGGTGTAATCCATACAGAAGTCTTTGATCTTCATCAGTAAATGCTTCAAGCCCTCTTCACTTTCAGCAGCAAGGTTGTGTCATTTGCATATTGCAGATTGTTAATGAGTCTTTCTCCAATCCTGATGCCACGTTCTCCTTCATATAGCCCAGCTTCTTGGATTATTTGCTCAGCACAGAGATTGAATAAGTATGGTTGTATGTATTGAATACAACCCTGAAGCACAGAGTTTCCTATTTTAAATCACACAGTGTCCCCTTGTTCTGTTTGAATGACTGCCTCTTGGTCTGTGTACAGGTTCCTCATGACAACTGACTATTCTGGAATTCCCATTCTTCTCAATGTTGTCCATAATTTGTTATAATCCACACATTCGATGCCTTTGCATAATTAATGAAACACTTTTCTGGTATTTTCTGCTTTTACCCAAGACCCATCTGACATCAGCAACGACATCCCTCATTCCATACTCTCTTCTGAAACTGGCTTGAATTTCTGGCATTTCCCTGTTGAGGTAGCTACAACTGTTTTTGAATTACCTTCAGCATAATTTTACTTGCATGTGATACTAATGATATTGTTTGATAACCTCCGTATTCCACTGGATCACCTTTCTTTGGAATGGGCACAGATAATCTCTTCCACTTGGTCGGCCAGGTAAGCTATCTTCCAAATTTCTTGGCACAGCTCAAAATGAGAAGAAACAGCTGCAAACATCCTTTAATAATCGGAATGTGGAATACACAAAGTACGAACCAAGGAAAGTTGGAAGTGGCCGAAAATGAAAAGGAACGCTGAAGCTCTATATCCTAGGCACTAGGGAGCTGGGACGGACTGGAACTAGCCATGGAGATTTGGAGGAACTCCGATTTGTAACGTCTCAAGATATAAACTGGACCACCCTCATTGACAGCAGCAAAAATAACCACAGGACAGAACTTCACACAGAGTGAGGAGGTCAGCCAGCCATGCCTTCTCTTCTGAGTTACAGTTCTAGTAACAAGTGCCCCATAAATCCTGGTCCAGTCCAGTGCCCCAGCCCAACCTTCCACCACTGGAGAGCTGGAACTGCCTTCACCCATTAATGCAGCTGGAGACCAGGAAAGGACCCATAGTCAGCTCCTTGTAGTCAGCGCCATAAAAGAAAAGGGGCTTTTGGCATGGGAAGAATCCTATCATAGGGTCAACACACACCCCACTGTGAGGGGACAGTCTCCGTTTATGTCTCTTGCCTCCAGTGTCCCATCCAGTGTCTGCTTGACCCCCAAGTGTCCCAGGAGGGATGGTAAATTATGTGGTTATCCTTCATTTAGTTTTGATACAATTCCATATGTTGTGTATTTTATCTCATCACATTCATGAGTCAATATTCAGAATCTATTTACAATGGAGTAAAATTAATACCTATTTTAGTCAAACCATTTATTCTAAAAACAAATTATATGGCCATCCTATAGGTAGGGCTCACTGAGCCCAATATTCCCATTGCACACATGGAAATACTGAGGCCCAGAGAAGCAAGCTGATTTTGATGGTCACATAGCAGCTGAGTTTGGTCAGACCTGGGACTTGGATCCAGGCCTGTGAACCCTGGAATGGAAGAGAAGAGGCGGGAAGGGGAGGGGAGAGGAGGGGAGGAGAAGAAGAAGAAGAGGAGGGGAGGAAAGGATCAAAAAGGGAAAGTGAGCCCAGCACCCCAACGGCTCACAGATAACTAAGTAACTCGCGAGAGAGGACGCTTGAGACTGGGCAGAGAAAGCGCCGGGCCTCTCAGGTCTACCTGGTGCCTGCCGCATCTGCCGGCTCCTCTGCGACACTGCCCCCACCCCTCACCACGCGACCGGACGGGGGGGACTTGAGCAGGCGGGGGACACCCCAGCGCTGGGCCTGTGGCTTCTGTAATGAAGATGCAGTTCCATCCTAAGTCTTCAGCTGATCCTCAGCCACCCAAGCTCGGCTCCTCGGGCACTTCCAGTGTGTCTTGCCATGGCCAGGACAGCCACACGAGCCCAATAACAGCCCTTTGTCCAGCAGTTGGTCAGCTGGTGACCTCGAGCGAGTAGATGCCAACCAGGGAGGGAGCCACAAAGCCAGCGAGCAGCCAACACAAACCCAAGGTCCCTCCTCTCTGCTGATCCGCTGATGACAGGACTGACCCTTAGAGTCCAGCTCGGAGCTCAGACTCCGGCTGGATGCCCTCGTCCATCAGGTTGCAATCTGCTTGACGACACGGGCACTGTGCCTGACAGACGTTCTCGTTGGACGGATGGGTGGATGGCGGACGGAGCAGGGCTGGGGAGGCCAGTGTCTGATGACACACGACGACTTTGTGCAGGGGGAGGGGGCTCAGCCTGGCGCATGGCGACCCCACGCACTGCAACAAAATGCCCCCCGCTCTTGCACCACGATGGACGGTGGATCAGATGGGGGTGACCCCTAGGGTTTTCATTTCCCCCCTTTTTTTTCTTTTAAATAATTTATCTGATTTTTGTTGCTGTTGTTGAGGATATACATGGTAAACATACTCAATTCAACTATTTCTATGTGTGCAATTCACTGACATTTGTCCACTGCTGTGGCCATTCTTACCCACTTCTGAGTGGCTCCTCCCCCATTAAACAAACTCACTGCTCCCTAAGGTCCCCTCTCACCCACCTTTCCTGTAGCTGATGTCCCTCTGATCCCACAGAGAATTTTAAAAGAGCCCAGTGCTCAAGGGACACATTCTTTATCAGGTAAGCTAAATATTGTTTGGCCTTCAGAAGGCTTGGGAGCTCTGGTGGCGTAGTGGGTAAAGCACTTGACTGCTAACCAGAAGGTCAGCGGTTCAAACCCCCAGCTGCTCCATAGAAGGAAGATGCGGCAATTTCCAGCCTCAGAAACCCAATGGGGGCCATTATGAGTCAGAAACGACTGGACAGCAGTGAGTTTTTTTTTTTTTTTTTTTTTTTTATAAAGAAGGCTTCAGGGGATAATTTTGATTTAGGTTCAAGATTAGGTAAAAACAGCATGGGAGTGGCCTCAACTGACCTGTAACTCACAGCAGGAGAGGAAGATCAAGATCAGCCGGGCTGATTCCTGAGAGGCGGAGGTCAGACTTGCCTCCACCCGCCAACCTTTTCACCATTTCTGACACCAGCCATCCCTCCCACGGGCTCTCCACTTCTCTGTTGGGTTAAAAAACTCATTGCAGTGGCCACACAGAGCTCGAGACAACCCTCATGAGTGTGGGGTTTGTGGGGGAAGTAAGCAGCTATGATCCAGGCTCAGGAACAGCTCAGAACACAGTTCTTGGATCACTACGGCTTCTCAGCCGGGCCTGTAGGCAGGCCTGTCTCCGGTTCTCAGCCTCACCTGCGATGCCTTGGCCTCTGCCCTGCTTGGGCAGGTGTTACAAAGTTCTCCGAGCCGCCCATAAATGCCCAGAGGCACTCCGTCACAGGCCCTCGGCCTTCTCACTCCGGGGACCCGCTGTGCCGTCCTTTGCTGAGGCTGCTTCATGGTGTCTCTCAGCTGTCACCGCTGCCTCTCTGTCTCTGACGTAGCAGGTTCAGCGCAGGGATCTCGGGTCCAGAGGACACACTCCCCTTCCAGCTCTTCTTTCTTGATGGTAGTGAGAGCCCCGCTTTGTGCCTCTGAGATGGTTCATTTTAAGCTTAGCTGGTGGCAAAACTGACCAATCCCGTGAGGGTTCCATACACATTATTTGCATAGTCCCACCCCCACAAGGGGTGCTATGCATTTTATTTACCTTCCTAACAAGCTATCTGATCCCCTTGGTGGGCCACAAGCACCTCTCATTTGCACAGTCCCACCGAGTCATCTAGTGGGAGCCACAGTCCCTGGTTAGAAGAGGCAGGCTGAGTCACCCACTGCAGCGCAGACTGGCTCAGGCAGTAGTCTCCGGGGGTTTTCTCTGGCTGAAGCTTTGGAAGCCGATCACCAGGCCTTTCTTCCTGGTCTGTCTTAGTCTGGACGCTCCGCTGAAGCCTGTTCAGCATCCCAGCCACCCTCAAACCTCCACTGACAGACAGGTGCGGGCTGCTCATGAGGTGTATTGCTGGGATTCGAACCCGGTTCCCCACTGGCGGCCAGCCTGCTGCTATGCTGGCGTGCGGTCATGTCCTCAGAGCTCTTCTGTATCTGTATTTTCACCATGGGTCTGGTAGTCATTCCCAGTTCACAGAAGGGCACATTGAGGCTCCGAGAGCAAGGGGCTGTGTGCCCTGGAGGTGCTGTGAGGCGGGGCGGCCAGGACTAGAACCCAGGTCCTCGACTCCCAGGCCAGCCCTGTCTATCATGAGTCTGGGCTCCTTGTCTTTACTGGAAAGTTCAAGAGAACTTCTGCACTGGGTTCCCACACTGCTCAGGCCCCGCGGCCCATTCCCAGCGCCCTGCTGAACTCCAGCCCCGTTTCCATGGAGACAGCGGGAGGAGCACCATCTTCCTCTTCACCCCCACGGCAAACACACCGTGGCCAGCGGCCACGACACGGGCTATGTTTGTCACGGGGAGACCTCAGGGATTTGGAGAGTTGGCTCAGGAGGCCGCCACTTGTGTGGCAGGAATGAACACATCCGTAGCCCGAGTGGCTGGACCTGGGGCGGGGTGGGGTCCCCAGCCAGAACCACGTCTCTCGGAGCAGCTGAGGGCTCAGACACAGCTGGGCAGAGCTCAGGCCACCCTGTCCCCATCGTGAAGGAATGGCCTGTATGACAAGATGACCATGTGTCTGCCTCCTGAGCCCCTGCGTGGAGAACAGGGAGGGCCTATGCGGCTGACATTTAGGGCAGAGCCAGGCAGGAAGTGGTGACCACAGGATAATTGGAGCTCCTAGGGGTGTGGCCCACTCGGGAGTCAAATGACAGAGACAAAGACGCATCACGGGCACTTACGTCATGCAGCGGGTATGCGGCTGAGTAGACACCGTTGGCCAGCAGACTGGTGATGCCTTAAAAACAGAGACAGAGAGGGGGTTACCGCATGTCCCTGTCCCACCTGACACCAGCCTGGTCCCGGGGAGGCTCAACCACCAAGCGTTCTCTCAATGCCAAAGCCACCTGGCCACCGAGGCCACCTGGCCACCGAGGCCGGCCACCTTCCTGGGGTCTCCTGACCGAGGAGGAAGCGCTGGGTTATGGATTAACAGCCGATGAGCATGCTTGATTGGCGGAATTAGGCAGGCCCCGAGGACACCCCAGAGGAAGCCAGACCCGTAGAAAGGGGGCCCAAGAAGCCCGCAACCCGACTCCGTCACCCCCAAGCCTCTGGTCTGCCAATGGCCCCATCTGCCCAAGGACAGGCCTGCAGGTGGAGGGGATTGAGATGGTTAGAGAAGCCGGATCATGAGAAAGACGCGGCAGGAACTGATGATGTCGGAAACGCACACGCAATTTGGCGTAAGGTTTTAGGTTGATTGGACGAGGCAGAGGGGCCCCGCGGAGCCCAGGTGGGGCACAGGGGCACTTACCGTATTTACCACATTTTCGTCTTTTATTTAAGAGGGCAGAGTCCTTCTTGTTCCCCACTCCTTGCCCTGTTTATACATCAGCTATTAGTGACAGGAAGGGCCCAGAGGGGTAAAGCAGCATACGGGGGAGAAGGCAGTGGCGGTGGGGGGCACCCAGGGGCTCTCAGCTGTCCTGAGGGTGGAGGCATGGTGGCCGGGCCCTCTGCCCGCCGTGCGTTTCGAAACCACCACGTCTGCAGCTCCTAAGGGCCTTTGACGCTGCCCCCTGCGCACCGGCAGGAGCAGGCGGAGCCCACGCGCCTGGAAGGGCCTTCCCAGGAATCTGATCGCTGGCCACACGTGTCCTTGGGAGCTGGGCCGCTGGGGGGGGAGTTCACTAAGCCCTTTGCTGGTCCCAGACCCTCTGCCTGGTGTCATGGTGGTTCTCACAGTGGCCTGGCTGCCCTGCCCTTGGCTCTTTTCCAGTGAAGCTGATGGGAAAATGACTTCCAGAAATAAACTGAACCATGAAGCATCTCCTGGCTCAGCAGTTGGGAAGGCTCTAGAACCTGAGGCCCTTTGGGAATCAAGACGGAGGAGGTGGGAGCACATGACTAAAGCCACACAAAAGCGTAGACAGTTCACCTGCCATAGAAAGTGGGCGTGGGGTCAAGGTGGATCACCAACCTCCAGGGAGCAGCCAGAACCCACTCCAAACCCACTGCTGACTCACAGCGCCCCCAGAAGACAGAGTGGAACCGCCCCACAGTGTTCCCAAGGCTGTCAATCTTCACAGAAGCAAAGCCCAAACCACACCCACTGCCTGGAGTCCATTCTGACCCACAGCGCCCCTAGAGGACAGAGTGGAACTGCCCCACAGTGTTCCCAAGGCTGTCAATCTTCACAGAAGAAAAGCCCAAACCACACCCACTGCCGTGGAATCCATTCTGACTCACAGCGCCCCTAGAGGACAGAGTGGAACTGCCCACAGGGTCTCCAAGGCTGTGAGTCTTTATGGAAGTGGACTGCCTCATCTTTCTCCCACAGAAGAGCTAGTTGGTGGTTTTGAACAGCTGACCTTTTGCTTAGCAGTTGCATGCTTTAACCACTGTGCCACCAGGGCTCCTGAGAGCAGCCAGAGGGCTCCTTAAAGTTCAAGTTAGATCATGTCCTTCCTCTCTCCCCACTTGCTCAGAGTGGGGCTGTGAGGCCCTCAGGATGGGCATGACCTTTCTGCCCTGCCACTACTCTGCCGCACCTCTGCCCATCTTCCCCTCCGCCCTCTGTTCCAGCTGTCCTGGCCTCCTCGCTGCTCCCAGAACACACCCTGTGGTGCTGCCACAGGGCCTTTGCATAGGCTGCCCCTTGGTCAGGAAGGTTCACCCCTCACTTTCTACAGTTCTCTGCTCCAATTGCACCTCATCACAAGGGTGTTCCCTGACCACTGGTTCTAAGTCCCATGAGCCTTCCCAGCCACCTCGTCCTGCAAGATTACACCCTGGTTTATCTCTCGATTTACTGCGGCCCCCTCCTGGAGTATCAGCCTCCTGATAGCAGGGAGCCCTGTGCCTGGACAGAGCTGGTGGGAGACAGGACTCCACCAACTTGCTGCAAGTTGAATGAATGAACTTGAGGGTCAGTGGGGGTTTTCCAACAAGGCCCCATGGGAAGTGGGAGTGCAGAGAAGGACCCAGCTCTGCCTGCTCTGTCACCGGGCTCTGGGAACCAGAGCGGGGGAGGGCAGTTGGCTCTGCAGAGTGCTTGTGGAGTACACAGAAGACATGCCATCCCCAGGGACAATGTGGGGACAGACAGCTCGGCCAGCAGGCCCTGGGGTTCTGGACTCAACAGATCTTTGCAGCAACCACACGAGTTTCCCTGGAAGGGACCCCACAGGACCCAGTGGAGAAACTGAGGCCCAAGAAGGAAAGAGATTGCCCATGCTCTCCCAGCTGGGGAGAGGAGCTGAGGCTAGAACCCACATGTCCCCTATGTTCCATGACCTTTCTCATGCTTTTCCTTGGCACCAGGGGCCTCAAGATGCACTTCCAAGGACCCCAGCTCCTCATATCACCTTCCTTCCTGCCTGGTCGTTGTGGCCGTCTGAGTAGGACGTGCCCATTGGAAGTCTCTTGCTATGTCTCAGTGGGCCAGGCTGATAGGGACAGCTTTCCTTGGCTCTCCTTGGCCCCTGGATGGGACCTTCTACTCCAATTGGTTTGGGCCATGGACTCAAAGATGTTAGGCCTGGAATGATGACCCTGTGCCTGACTCTTAGCCACATGGCTGAGGCCAAGCCACCCCCTTGACCTGCCAGACTACTGGCCCCATGCCCTGGCCCCCGGTATCAGACCACCCAGCACTCTCTCCGGAAGGTTAGCTGGGGCGCTTTGTCTCCTCCACAAGGCTTGGGTTGTGCCGGACCCGGCTGTGCCCACAGCCCCTTCTGGAAGGAGCATGCTGGATGGCAGCTGTTGGCTCAGTTTTCAGCAGGGCATAAAACAGCTCCAGAAGAAGGAAAACAACGGCTCGAGCCTGGCATGCCTTGTGTTCCATTCAGTGGTTTGACTTTTGCCAAACTGGCTGCAGTGGGGCCGGGGGCCCACACGGGGGAAGGGTTCCATCTACAGCCACTAACGGAAGGGCTCGTATCTGAGGCTTGAGACGTCCCATAGACTGGTACCCCAGGAGCCCAGACAGCATGGCTTTATAGAACGTTCTGGGATCAGGGCTTCCGTGCACAGTGGTGCCGGGTCAGTGGGGGCTGCAGTGGGGCACCCTCCTCTCTCTAAGCCAGACACATGCCTGGTTGTACCCAACCAGGGGTGCTTCTTCTAGTTCGCCCCCAAATGCTGCCGGGGCTATTGCTCCCACCTGGACTGTGGGGGTCAAGAGAAGTTCAAGGTTCCTTGGTCATGCTCACACTGGCCCATTCCCAGCCACACTGACCATTCCCAGGAGAGGCTCCTCTCATCCTTGCAAATTCCTCAGGCCAACGCAAATGATACTGTGTGCTTCACAGTGACAGCCAGCTAGAATCGCTCTCCTTCCAGCTACCAAAACCCGGCAGAAAGCCCTAAGCCCCCTCCCCCCAGGGAGATGCTTGGAGGTGAGATGAAGGCTCGGAAGCAGACACTGATCCCCGGGCCCAGGAGCACCCTTACCCATGCTGTACTTGGCTTTGGCGCATGTCGTCCTCTTCAGAATCTCATACACCTGTTGCAGAGACAGAGAACAAGAGGCGGGGAGCAGTTACTGTCGGCACCTCCAGAAACCAAAACCCAACGTGAAAGTTGAAAAGGAGCCAGGCTACACGCTGCCAATGGCAACCTCCCCCTGCTGAGGAAAGACAGGGTTTTCTTAGGAATGTTGTTGGCACAAAGGATTCTGGATAACGCCAGAGACCTGGTGTCTTCAGGGAAAAGTAGGAGCCCCTGGGGTGCAAATGGCTCATGTGCTCAGCTGCTCACTGAAAGCGGGGGGATCGAGTCCATTCAGAGACACCTCGGAAGGAAGGCCTGGTGACCAACTCCCCAAAATCAGCCGCTGAAACCACGTGCAGCACAGACCGACTGACATCCGTGCAGCCACAAGGAGTTGGAAGAGCAATTCGCAACTGGATTTTTTAAAAGACATATTTTTATTATAAAAATACATATAAGACAGCATTGGCCAAGTCAACATTTTTCCTGTGATAGCCATGACATTAATCACGCATTGTTGTTGTTGTTATGTGCCGTTGAGTCGGACCTGACTCATAGTGACCCTTCCTTGGGTTTCCGAGGCAGTATCACTACGGAAGTAGATTGCCCAACCTTCCTTCCGAGGAGTGGCTGGTGGGTTTGAACCTCCAGCCTTCTGCAAACCTGCTGCAAAAGACCTCTTTCAAATGCTGAAGAGCAAAGATGTCTCCTTGAAGACTAAGGTGCGCCTAACCCAAGCCATGGTATTTTCAATTGCCTCATATGCATGTGAGAGTTGGACAATGAATAAAGAAGACCGAAGAAGAGTTGATGCTTTTGAGCTGTGCTGCTGGTGAAGAATGCTGAAGGTACCATGGACTGCTAAAAGAACTAACAGATCTGTCCTGGAGGAAGTGCAGCCGGAATGCTCCTTGGAAGCGAGAATGGCCAGACTTCGTCTCACCTACTTTGGTCATATGGTCAGAGGGGACCAGTCCCTGGAGAAGGATATCACGCTTGGTAAAGTGGAGGGTCAATGATAAAGGGGAGGGCCCTCAACAAAGTGGATTGACTCAGTGGCTGCAATGATGGGCTCAGGTATAGCAAGGATCATGGGGCTGGCACAAAATCATGGGGCTGGCAGGCAGTGTTTCGTTCTGCTGTGCATGGGGTTGCTATGAGTCGGAGACGACTCGACGGCACCTAATAACAACAACAATTGCGTTGGGCAACCATCACCAATAATCAGGCAGCTGGGCTTTTAGGTGTAACTTGTAGAACCACATCTTTTACCGTCAAATGATGAATGGACTCCACGCTGGGCTCCCCCTTAAGCCCTAAGACCGTGCTCAGAACTAATTAAAAAAAAATAAACCTGTTGTCGAGTCGATTGTGACCCACAGCGCCCCTAGAGGACAGAGTGGAACTGCCCCACAGGGTCTCCAAGGCTGTCAATCTTCACAGAAGCAAAGCCCAAACCACACCCACTGCCAGGGAGTCCATTCTGACCCACAGCGCCCCTAGAGGACAGAGTGGAACTGCCCACAGGGTCTCCAAGGCTGTCAATCTTCACAGAAGCAAAGCCCAAACCACACCCACTGCCGTGGAGTCCATTCTGAGGCACTGTGCTCCCAGAGGACAGAGTAGAGCGGGCCCAGAGGGTCTCCGAGGCTGTCAGTCTCACCTTTCTCCTGTAGAGCAGCTGATGGGTTCAAACCACCCACCTTTTCATTTGCAGCTGAGCACGTGACTACTGGGATACCTAACAACTGGCCCACCAGACCTTCCTTCTGCAGAGTGCTGGGTGGTTTCAAACTTCCAGTCTCTAAGTTAGCACTGATTACACCCAGGCTAAGGGAACCCCATGGAGCTCAGTTCTATCCCATAATATCCTAAGTGACTGTACAGCAAGGTTTATTGTTTACTAAAATGGGGTGAATGATAAAAATTACGACAGCAGCTGGATACCTAGTGCCCCGCCCATTCACTATCTGGCTGGGGGAGTGAGGACTACCCCAGTGTGGACAAATGCTCAGTGACTCTCCCATGGTCACAAAACTGGGAGGGGCAGAGTGTGCATGGGACTGGACCCGCCTGTGCCCAGGGCTGCCAAGTCTCCCCATGCCATGCGACCTCACCCTTCCCTGCCCCTGGCCACCTGCCAGTGTCTGAAACGGTGGCAGAGGAGGGAGAATTATATGTACAGGTCAACTGGGTGCCTCCTCCCGCCCCTTTCTCCCTGGACAGGCTGAATTGCAGCAGAGAGGACAATTGTCACATCTCGGCTGGTTGCCGGCTTGCTTGTTTGGATAAGAGTTGGGTCTGAGCCATGCACAGCCCAGGTGGGCTGACAGAGAAGTTGACAGCTGATGGATAAACACAGGGCCACAACCTCGAGCAGGCCCAGGTGGCATGGTTAGGTTTCCAGCCTCGCTTTGCTTGCCTGGTAGAGCCTTGGACTAGATCCTAACTGGCACGCCCCATCACTCACCCTCAGCCTGCTGCTCAGACCCCTTTGAGGTGCCAAGACCTGGTGGCTTAAAAGCACAGACCCCAAGAAAAGCAAGAGAAATGAAGTCCTGAGACAGGCTGCCACATGGGTGCACGGAGCCCTGATACACGCCACAACATGGATGCACAGAGCCCTTATACAGACTGCAACATGGGTGTATGGAGCCCCGACACAGGCCGCAACATGGGTGCACGGAGCCCCGACACAGGCCGCAACGTGGGTGCACGGAGCCCTGATACGCGCTGCAACATGGGTGCACAGAGCCCCGATACAGGCCACAACATGGGTGCACGGAGCCCTTATACAGACTGCAACATGGGTGTACGGAGCCCCGACACAGGCCGCAACGTGGGTGCACGGAGCCCCGACACAGGCCACAACGTGGGTGCACGGAGCCCTGATACGCGCTGCAACATGGGTGCACGGAGCCCCAATGCAGGCTGCAACAGGCTGCACAGAGCCCTGATACAAGCTGCAACGGGGGTGCACGGAGCCCTCCTACATGCTACAACATGGATGGATAGAGCCCCTCTTACATGTATACAACATGGATAGATGAAATCCTGATACAGGCTACAACATGGGTGCATGGAGCCCTGACACCAGCTACAACGTGGCTGCATGGAGCCCTCATGCAGCTACAAAGTGGATGGATTCTGAAAGCATCATGCTGAGTGATAGACGCCAAAAGAGCACAAAGGGACAATGCTGTCGATCCCACTGATACAAAACAGGCAAATGCACGGAGACCCAAGTGTGCCCGTGGTCACCAGGGAGGGAGAGTGGACAGGGGAGCCCTTGCCCAGGGGCATTGAGCTTCTGTTATGGGGACAGAACAATCTGGAGGAAGACAGTGGTGACGGCTGCCCAGCCGACAAATGAGTGAACATCACTGAGTTGTACAAGGAAAAATGATGGAATTGGCAGATGTTTCATGACAAGTATTTTCACTACAATAAAAAGAAAAAGAGAAGAAGAAGGTGAACGGCTGGGAACCACAAAGGCATGGGGACACCGTTTAAACGACTGGAGGGGCTTTGAGTCCCTCTCCAACCCTTTCTTCCTGGGAGCCCCAGGCCACGGCCATCCCCTGGGCCCGCCAGCCCTCCTGGTTCTATTATCCTAATTATTTCTGTCACAGGCAATTAGAGCCGTCTTCTGCCTGGAGGAGCTACTCTGAAATGAAATAATCACTGGTGTCCCCAGGGCCACCTTGCTGGAGTGATCCCACTGTGGTACTTACAATTGTGCTGCGGGTTTTGCTGTCGAAAAAGGAGTCCTTATCAGACAGGTCAAATCTGTTGAAACACGGGGAAGACAAGGGGACAATGAGACACGGTGCACAGGAGGTGGTCCTGCCAGCTTCCAAGGTCCTGGGAAATCACACTGTCCCCATTAGTGGTGCCCGGGGACTTGGCCACATGCCAGAGGGGCCGCTGGGCATCTGGAACAGTCTGTCTCCTCACCCCCTGCCTCCCATGAGGCTCTGAGACCTTTGCAAGGAGGAAGTGACCCAGAGCCAAGTGCCACCAGACCTGCCTCCCTGGAGGGCCCTGCTTCCTTTGGTGACAGCCTCCACCGGCATGATTTAAGCTTCTGCTGGGGTCAGGGATAGTGCCATTCTGCCACTGAACAGCTCTAATGTGTGACTTCCAAACGATGGCGTGGGTGGCACGGAGGTTTCCTAGGTTTCCTGGGGTACAGAGATGCCCTTGAGGTGGGTGACCCATGCCCCAAGGTGCTCAGGGTAAAGAGGGGGGCTCAGTGCTCAGGGGGGTGTCCCAGGTCTGGTCCTGGAGCAGAGAAGAACCTGGTGAGGCAGGTGGGGCTCATGGAGCCGGGACAGAGCCAGGGAGACTGGCCCCACAGTCACCCAGCTTTTCTCTTCTAGCAAGAGGATGCCTCCCTCTAATGTCCCAGAACCCCCAGTTTGGAGCCGCGGGAGAGCTGGGCGGGGAGTGGCTTCCTTCTCTCTGGGTGTCGAGCCTTGTCCCCTAGGATCAGGTGCAACACGGAGTGAAGGTTCTCCCCGACAGCTAGGACGCACCTCCACCTTGAGTCCCTAATTCTCCTTGCCCTGTCTCCACCCCGTGAGGCCTGCCCTCGGAGCCACCGCCCCCAGGGTCCTCCTGGGTCCCCCGAGTCCCGAGCTCTCCTCTGCCACTGCCCAGGCACGTTCTGCCCAGCCAGCCCCAGGGAGGCCTCCCAGCTGCTGACTACGCCCCACTGCCCCTCGGGAGCAGGGAGGAGGAAGGTTCTAGAACAGGTGAGGCACTGGCAGGCAACCCCTGCTGGCGGCCATCCCTGGGGCCCTCAGGCTCCTCTGGGGGGTGCTTTCAGTCCCTGCCTCCCCCATTCCGCCTCAGGCTGCTGTGTGGCAGGAAGACATGGCCACCAGGAGCTCCCACCACAAAACAGAGAGGGACGGGGCTGAGCAGCTGGGCAGGGGCCGGGCGGGCCCCTGATCTGGGGAACGTAGCGTCAAAGCAAGACCCACAACACACACACCCTCATTATTTTCCCCCAGGGGTCTCTGGGCCGAGCCCTCAGTTAACATGCTCGGCTGCTCACAGAAGGCTGGCGGTTCAAATCCACTCAAAGGCGCCTCGGAAGAAGGGTCCGGCAGTCTCCTTCCGTAGGGCCAGCCAGTGCAAACCCTGTGGAGCACAGTTCCGGTCCAACACACGCGGGGTCGCCGGGACTCAGAACCCACTCCACAGCGGCTGCTTTGGCTTTTCTGTTTCCTACTCAGAAGATCGTGCTCAGTTGTGCATGGGGTCGCCGTGAGTCAGAGCTGACTCGACAGGACCTGACACCAACCCCACCCATGGGAAGATCAAGACTCTGCCCACAGCCTCGGTGAACTGTGACCCCTCCTGGGCTCCGAGTATGCCCCAGGGGCTGACGGCCCCTCTTCTGGGGGCACGGACTCCCTTTGCCCTGCACCCTGTAAGCTGCGCTTCTTAAGTCTTAGACGAGGGGTCTCAGGCCCCACTTACAGGTGCTGTTTCTCCCGGGAGAAGGGGTACGAGAGCCTCTTGGTGGCCTGGGGCCGGTGCTCGGCCACCCGGGGCTGGATGGGGTCCGTGATTTTCTGGAGAACCGAGTTGATCTTCTTCAGGAGGCCACGGGTCTCATTGATGTGGTACATCTGTGAGGAGACGGGGTGAGGGCCGCATCAGTGCACTGAGCCGTGACTGACCCTCGGGTCTAGTCTCAGACTCTTCACAGAACGGCCCCGTCCGCTCTGGCACGAGGGCCTGTCCTGGGGACAGAGCTGCATTCCTGACTGATCCTGAAAGCTCAGAGTCAGGAGAGCTGCCCCCGAGGAGCAGTGATAGAAAATTCCACAACATTCTCCCTGTGACTTCCCTTTGGTTCAGAAACATGTAACCCCACGTCTCAGTGAGAGGGAGAAGGGCGGCTGACATAGTGGCTCCATCCCTCCTCTTGTCTCTTCCGCACACAGAAGGGAACACGGACTCCTGAGCACACCATAAACCTCTCTCCCCATAAACTTTCAGAGATTAAACAGAAAACCCCACAGCACAGGGTGTTTCCAGAGCAGTGAAGCCCCCGAGTGATGGTGGGATGGTGGGCACACGACAGCTGCCTCCATCAGCACCGAGTGAGCCCTCACGCCAACTGTGACTTTTACTAATGACCAGGATCAATACTGGCTCATCACCTGTCACGTGTGTCACGGGAACACGAGACACGGACAATGGCAGAAACTGTCCAGGGAGGAGCAGGGACATATGTGAACTCTACTTTCTGCTCCATTTTTGTGTAAATTGCCAAGAAACAGTCTATTAAATTCCTCAAAGAGAGGGAAAGAACAAAGAAAAATCCTAGCAATCCAGGAAATGTAATTAAAATAAATCTGACAGATTAGCTGAGACACCACAGTGTATAAAACCAGAGACAGGCGTTTAATTGCATTGTACTTATAATAAATTTCTGCGCCCAGAGGCAGGCTCTCCTGCTCACGGCACATCCTGAGAGGGTAGGATCTGGGGTGTCTAGCTGACAAGCTGGGGCTGGGTTGCACTGCCACAGCGACGTGTGTCCTGAAGCCCATCTGCTGCTGTAATAGCTCAGGACCCCCTTGGCAACTGTGCTCAGACTTGGTGATCTATTTCTGAGTAGAAAAGACCTCACTCACCTTCTTTGTAGGCATCTTAAGTTTCAAGAACTCAGCTTCTCTGCACAGCACATTCCAGGGGGCGTGGATCTTGACAAACCCGACCCCGTGGATTTTGGTCTAGAAAGAAAAGAACACACCTGTCAGGAAGGGCGGGGCCCCTGTATTCGAAGCTATTTCACCCGCAGATGCAGTTTCCAGTCACTGGGCAGCTTTCTTAAAGTGTTCAAAAGCTAAGATGTCACTTTGCAGACTGAGGTGCGCCTGACCCAAGCCAGGGTATTGTCAGCTGCCTCACACGCGTGCGAAAGCTAGACAGGGAGTAAGGAAGACCGAAGAAGAACTGATGCATTGGATGGTGGTGTCGGCGAAGAGCACAGAATATCCCAGGGCCGCCAGAGGAGCGAAAAGTCCATGCTGGAGGAAG